CCCGGTGCCTTCGCCCCTCCGAAAATCCTAATTTAATCCTCTAAACATCGTCTCCCCCCCCTTTTTTTAAAATTTTTTTTTGTTTTGTTCTGGAATTCTTTTCCAGTTACTCCACAGATCTCACTCTTGTCAGTGGTGAACGCCAAGGAAGGATGGTCACGTCTAATAATAATAATAATAATAGTCTCTCTCTCTCTCTCTCCTCCCCGTCCCCGGGGCCAAAATCGTGATGCTTCCCAACTGCAGTGGCTGCCTGGGTTATGTCACTGCTAGGAGGGGAACCATGTTTCAGTGCAGCGCTCTTGATCCCAGCCGGGGTTTTAATCACCTCCCGCCCCCTCGGCTTGTGTGTCATCACCGAGGCCTGCGGGGTTTGGTCGTGTGGCGGCTGCCTGGCCCTCTGAATAGGCACGAACTTGAGTCCAAAGAGCAAAAAAAGCTACCTTTGCACGTCCTGAGGTTCAGCGCAGCCGCGTCTTGGGAAGAGTGTGGGGGGCGGCGGCGATGCTGGTTGGAAGCCTCTCTGTCCAGAGGGATTAGAGGGGCCAGCCAACGGATGGAATGAGGCGGATTCCTCTTTCAGCGTCCGTTGGCGGTTGGAGTTTGGCAGTTGGCTGACCAAACTGTCGCAAAAGCATGCGGGGGGGGGGGAAGAGAAATTACATCTAATTAAAATAAATAAACTGTACCTCCGTAGGCAGGGATTGTTTTCCGGTTTTGTTTCTGAATGACACCTAGCATCTCTAGAAGTCACCCTTCTTTATGTAACATAGGCAACATGCAGCACCCCTCTGGTGATAATATTGGACAAACCTACAGCTGGAGCTTATTGTCATCCGTTACTCATCTGGTGCTAGTTACCGTACTGAGCATCCGGCTAAAGTGTAGAAACTGCAGCTTTGCATGCAAGTTTATAAAATCCAAAATAGTCAAGGGAAAATAGATGTACAAAAAAGTTCCTGCTTAATGGGAGGCAGGGAACCATCTTTTAAAGGGAACAGAGTGGTGATAATCTTGGAACCCCCCAAAATTAACAACCTGAGTACAATCTTCATTTTGCATTACCTGCCAATTTCACCTTTTTCTTTAATCTATCCAAATGCTCATCAATGGCAGACCAATTTGATTCATTTTTTTCCTCCCCACCCCCACTCACTACAGTACCTTTTCTGCTGCAGTTTGCTTGGAAACATTAATACAGAGTCTGCCCATCAGTGCTAATCCTAAAAGCGTTTGTACATGCTGCTGAAAACATTGGTTGTATAATTTTTAGTGATTTCAGCAGGATTTACCAACGATAAATTTGTAACGGTTTAAAATGTTGGCGAGGTGCCAGAGGCTTTAGCTGCATAATGAGCTAACCAGCTGTGCAAGGAAGAGAAAATCTTTCAAAACCATAGATGGATTATAAGAACTGTTACCTTCTCCCAGAGAAATGGCCTCTGTTGATTATGTGGCTGTTTGCAGCTCTCAAAACAGGTTCAGAAAAGCTCCCCCACCTACAGTATTTTGCAGTTGTAAGGGGAGGGGAGCAGTTTCCAACTATCAGTTTGATCTAATATATGCAAAACCAAGGTCTTTGGCGCTTTCCCCTCAACTTATAATGGAATTCACAATGCTAGTTGTGAGTTAATAACAGATTCATTAATATATGGTTTTTACATAAATATTAGGCTGATTCTGAAAATGGGTCACATTTTTTGATAAACTTTTAAAAAATGACAAGTTCAACACATGTTAAATGCCTGGTCTTATTCTTGATGATAAACATGATAAGGAAAAATCTTGAGTCATCTGAGACTTATTTTTGGTTTATCAAGACAATGAATTACTGTATTGTACTTTCCCAGAGGCCTGGGAATATGTCTTCCTCTTTTCTTTTTTCTTTTGTTGAGATTGAGGTCAGTTTCATTTAAATTATTGTTTAAAAACATTAAAATAAATTGCTCCTTCTTTTAATGACAAGTTTACTTTTAATCACATCTGAATGTTGTGTTTGCTTTCATTGCAAGAAGTCTTAGACTCTGATCTTGAACAAAGGAGACCTCCGTGCAGTCTTGTTTTGAGGCAGATGTATACCATCATTGCTGAACAAAACATTAAGGGAATAATTGGTGCCATGATTGTAAATACACAGTCACAGATCCAGTTAGGAGAGTCTGCATGGGGGCAGGCTTCCCTGTATATATCACAAAGCTTTGGATTATTATTAGAAGCACAGATTTAGTATTTTTAGATTTATAACTCCAAAAAGGTGGCCATACTGGTTGATCCTGGAAGCTGGCATCGGGTAAAAAAGAGAACTTTTAAAATCTGGCATGTCATGTGCTATCTCATAGATAAGAATCCACATTTGAATGTAGATGCTGCAGCCTTATTCACCTATCATGTGAAAATCTTTCCTTAAGTATTGCTAAATTGGATTAGGACTTGGTAGTTCCAACAGACTTACTATTTTGCAGCAGTAACTAACAAAGCTGGTTTTTAAGTGTAAAAATAATCCTATAAGGTTGTTATCTTTTTGTAGTTCTGTCAAATTGGAAAACTTGCTGATTATTATTATTTCATTACAGAGTTGAAGGCTTACCATTTTATTACAACAAAAATTTTCATGGTGCTATGTGTTTTTGCTGTGACAAGTCACATGTCTGGAAATGGTTATATTTAGTCCTAACTGATCTGTGAATTTTGGAATGTTTCTTTATGGGTCAATATGGCTGCCTTTGTTTTTTCTTTAAAATGTAATTCCTGTTAAATAAATGATATATAGTCAATGCAGTATTAGGTGATGCAAAGATCTAAGGTAGTAAGTAACTGGAGGACAGAAGATTAAGGCCCATCTCTCTGCTTCCCCTTGTTTTAATTTGTGCGTTCTCCATTTTAGTTTGTTGTGTGGCTTGCATTTACATACAGGCTTCTTCAGAAATAGAATCTTGCTAGTTCCTGTGCTATTTAAGGTGTATCAAATGTGATTTGCATAGTATGGCCTTTGGGAGTTTTAACTACAGTAATTTCCTATTCTTCTTTCTGCAAATAGTTGCATTTACCCAGTGGTGTTGATTAGGATGTTTTCCCTACCCTTACAGCCTGAATGCACTCACTTCTGCTCTCAGAGCCATGAAGTTAAATACAGTATGTGCTGAATGTGAATATGTTCAGCCTTCACTGTGATTGGAAACTCACCTTTTACATGTTAACATGGCTCCAAGTAACTGGCAGTAAAAGCAATATGTTAATTTTTTTGCTGCTTTGTTACGCATGTTTAGTGCATCAGATCAGATACTAACCTGAACAGTCAAAACATACCCTTTCTTGTAGGTGACGTCTAATTGATTAGATCCCAAGATGTTATAAGAACAAGCCTGCTGAAGGAAAGTCAGATGCTGTGGTCAGGGAACATTGGTGGGCTTTGGGTGTATTTTTACCTATCCCTAACACTACTACTTACACTGGACGTGGGCATGTTGAGAAGGCCTAGGGGCCAGTTTCCCACCCTCAGGAGCCTCTGCGGTCACACAACTGCCCCCCCAGCAGAAAATATGAAGAAAGTGAATGTTGCTTGAAATCTATGCCTTTTTTTTGGGGGGGGAGGGTGATGGTTGGGGAACCTGCTATTTTATCTCTCACATGCACATGCACACACATACACCACCACCACCATCATCTTTAACTCCTTTTGCACCTTAAACGATTTGAAGAACCTGTTTGATTTACAGAGGACTAGGGCTCCGGTGGTCCTCAAAGGCTGATGTACCATCTAAAGTGCTACAAGGGTCTGTCATTTTTGCTGTGACAGAGTAACATGGGTACCCACAAGAAATGTGAGGTGATTAATTGCATTGATTTTTAAGGGATGATCAAGGCAACATTGCTACTTATACTTGGGAGTCTCTCTAGAAAGAAAGACGGAAGAGTTCTCACGCAAGTACTGAGACTTTAAGGACTTTCTGCTAGTCAGAATGGCCACTACCTATATGGATCAACAGCTTGACTCTGTACAGTATATTATTCCGGCACCATTTTGTATTTGGATATGTTGAACAGAAACTGGAAAATAGAGAAAGTCTTGATGCCAAATCTCCATCTGTATTTAGCATTATATCTTGGGCTGCAAGCTCTAATTGATTTAATTGGTGGATCAATCCACTAAATGATTGCTTTCCAAGGATACTGTGGAACTGTGTGTTTGTTTACCATACAGTTCTTTTAAAAGTTCAGCCTTAAATGCTTTTAACATATTGATAGCCTCCACGAGAACCATTTCTAGCTGCTTGGCAAGATACCAATTTTTGAATGAATGAATAATAAAGCATTAGTTGATTAATTGCTGGGTCAAATTTAATTGGTGGCTTTCAGATTTAAGGACATAGTTCATTTGTTTTCAAGATCTCCTGGCTCTGGTGTATTGCTGTGATAGGGAGTTAAAAAGAAAATATTGGGAATGGTTAGTGCCTTTTGTAAAGATCTCTGCCTTCCAGAAAGCACATCCTGGTGTTCCAGATATACCTCTTTACACATTATTAAAAACAGTTGACTGCCTTGGAGTGTTCCCATTCTGGTGTTTTCCCCTATACAGTAGTTCCTGTCACCTCTGATGATTCACCATGCTGACTAAGGCTGATGAGATCTAGAGGGCATCAGATTTACAGGGATCTAAGGAGACCAAAAAGAACAGGGAAGAAAATATAGGGGAAACAAGGGGAAAATGCTGTTGTTTAAATTTAATGGACATACGTAAGCTTATGTTATTTGTTATTTTTATCTTGCCTCTCAGTGAAACCAAAGTAAATAAAAACAAAACACAGTCAAATACATAAAAACAGGAGAGGATTTCTTTACAGTAGGTTGTGACAACTAAGGTGTTGTACGTAACTTTAAAAATCTATTTAGTTGATGAAAAGGAAAGAGAAATTCAACTCTTGTAATAGACCTTCCCAAACCTCTGGCTGCTGTATTCTGTCGTGCTTGGAATGAGCTCAAGAGTTGAGGCTTAAGGAAGGTATACAGCCTGCTGACAGCCAAAGTGAGTCAGTGCTCCAGCATCATCTGGCACTGTGTGAACTCTGTCCTCTATGCGGGTAGGGGTAAGCAGATGACGTTGTGTTAACTTGGTTGTTTGTTTATAATTAAATGTAAATTAGCATTTGAGTTTTAGAGACTAATATAATAGGTCTTGTTGGACTGAGATGTCCAAGGTTGGAGCGCTGGTTAGTTGAAACCAGTAGTCCATTTTATTTTATTTGACTTGTTTATTTATTCGATTTATATCCCATCTTACTCCAAAAATTAGTATTGAGGGTGACTCAAGATTTAAACACAGGCATACACGCATGGAAACACAATAAATCATCAAAGCACAATGTAAAAGGTTGCAATGTTAAACTGTAGTTGAACAAAACAGAAATGCATATCAATCACAAAGTTGCAGCACCCACATTAAAAACCTTTATTAATTAGCCACCGAATTGCTAAAAGCTCACTTGAATAAAAAGTCTTTGCTGCAACTAAGGTTTTGCACTCAGTTCCTACATAGATATTAGGTTTTGATGTAATGTTCCTGTAAGTGTATCAGACCTCCCTTAAACTGT